CTCCTCCAACTCCAACTTCCAAGTATTGATAAATGCTCCTTCCGTCCAATATTAATTGTCAAAGTCATTAAAGAATATTTGACATTTTACAAAAATAAGATAAAATTAATTATTTTATTCAACTTTATCAATGAAGTATTCTTTAAATAAAATTAGTTTTAGAGGGTGTTTGGATTGACTTAAAAGTTGGTCAAACCTACTTTTAAGTCCGTTTTTTACTTCTGAAAGTGTTTGGCAAATATAAAAAATAACTTAAAATAAGTCAAAAATGACTTAAAATAAGTTGAGAAGTGTTTGGCAAGGTCAAGAATGACTTAAAATAAGTTTAAAATGACTTAAAATAAGTCAAAAATCAAAAGTAGGTCTCACCCTACTTTTTATTTTTTGATTTAAAAGTCATTTCAGTTTGACTTTTTATTTTTGACTTAAAAGCTTTCTTTTTAAGCCAATCCAAACGAGCCTTAATTAGTCTTATTCTCAAACAAAATGAGAGAAATAAAGATAAAATAGTAAAAAAAAAACACTTTTTATCTATGACTTGTTAACAAAGTTGTAAAAAAGAAATATGATTAATTAATATAAGATCGAGGCCGGAGTATTAAATAGGGAATTGGGTCAAATTTATTTATGTTTAGTTTGTTAGGTTAGACATCTTTTTGATTAATTTTACCGTGTCGTTAGAAAAAATAGTCATTAAAAAAATTCATGAAAATTTTAAATACGTTGAAATTAGCTCATTTCACATTGAAATTTAATTAATAGGAAAAAGTTAGAACTTATGTTTGATAGGCAAGTGGCAACATATCAGAGTTCTAATTATTGTCTATAAACCAGAACCTCTTATTAATTGTGTAGATTCACTCCCTTAAACGTTTGTTTTATGGTAAAAATTAGAACGTCTGCTTCAAGGCAAAATTTGTTAAGCATGGCCAAAAAATAAAGATCATTCAGATAAGGGTGCACATCGATCGGTTCGATTCAGCAGTTTAATTTATTGATTTTTTATTTTTGAATATGCTAAACCATAATCAAATCAATAAAATATTTCTTATCGATTTTTTATTCTTAACGATTCTATTTTCAATTTAAATGATAAGAAAATGCTCATATGATGATCATATATACATGATGTTCACAAAAATAGAAATAGAAGCAAGAATAGAAGTCTAACATAAATTTCTAAGTTGATCACTTTGTGTAATCGTATGAAGAAAGCAATAAGAATGAATTGAAATACTCAAAAGAGAAAGAGAAGATAAGAGAGGAGAGGAGCGAAAGAAGAAACATATTTAGAATCTTGTTAATTTCATTCTTTTTCAATACTACTAGAAGATTATGAGTCCAGTTTATATAGACCTACTAACTGGACTTAATTCTAACTAACTACAATAGTTTACCTAACTACACAATTAATTAACTAACTTTCAATAAGTTAGTTAACCTTGCAACTAACTTCTAACTATTCACACTATCCTTGAGACTTTAGGTTATTCCTTCAATACTTTGTTTAAAACATAGTTGTTCGAATTCATTCTAAAGACTCATGCAATAAATTGAGGAAACAACATTAATTTATTGTATGTCATTGTTACAATCAAAGCGAAAATTGAGAAGCGAGAAAGTAATACTAGTTTGTGTCTAGAAGAGAGAAGTTGTCGCAATAGAGAGAGGGAGGGGGGACTAGTTTGTATGGCTTACGGTCAAAAGTAGCAAATAGGATTGGCAAAATGTTAAAGGCGTTGTTATATAATAAAGAATAAAATAGTAATTTTGATACAATCGTATTGAGTTATCAATTAAATTTTCAATTTCAAATAGACAGAAAAAGAAAAAGTAAGATAAATTAATATGATCTAGATAAACAAAATTTAAAATAGTAATAACTGTAATTGAATTTTATAAAATAAAATAAAATAAAAATTACAGCTTTTTATTGTACTCATACATCAACTTAAATAGCCAATATAAAACTCAAACTCATGAGTACAAATTAAAATAAATCATAATATATTTTTTGGAATTAATTAACATTATTATTCTTCAAAAATTTACCTTAATGAGGACATTGTTCCTCACATTCAAAAAGAAAAGGATAGCATTGTCGAGGTCGAACTATTACACAACAATATTGTCCTCCTGCATCAGGAATTTGGAGGCAGGTACTAACTTTAATTTTTGGTTTAACGCTCGTATCTTCATCACCTGCATTTCGTAAAATGAAGATATAAGAATACATAGAATTTTATCTGATAATATAATATAAAAATAATTTAATATGAACATACATTGATGAAGAGCCAAAAGGGAGAACAAAATCAAGCAAAGTAGCAAAACTGATTGAAGGGAGAATTTTGTAGAGGCCATTGAAGAGTATATATATATGATTTAATGCTTAAAAGTTTAAAGGTAGTGAAAAATACTTATGAATTTCTCTCAAATATATAGCCTTAGAAAAGCTCTTCATTTTGGTAAGTAATGATTAAAATTTGCCAAATTATAAATGTAGTTAATTTTGATAATTACTAACTCAAACTAATGATTAATTTACGAAAAGAGTACTTGATTTTGATAATTAAGGCAAGCTAAATATTAATTGACCAATTATTTACTAATGTATTTATTAAAAAGATTATGCATAAAATTGGTATGTAATATCAACTCTTTTTTGCATATATTCTTTTTTAATATACATACCAAATTATTTTCTCAATATTGATTTTTCCTAATTTTAATAAATACATATTAAATAAGATTATGCACAAAAGAGATTCTTTTACATATCTTAGTGATGTAAACTCATTTATTTCACTTTGTAAATTACTCATTTGGCAATTTGTTATAATTATGCGGATATTTGTAATACAGAAATAGTTATGAAAATATTTATTTATTATTTTATGCAACTATAAAAAATAGTATATAGATCCTTTTACGGAAAATGGTTAAAATTGTCCCTGAACTATGCGAAATAGACCACTTATACCCTTCGTTACATTTTGGGATAAAAAATGCCCCCGCCGTTATCCTAATAGACCACAAATCCCCTCAAGAGTTAACACCCCAAACTTTTAGTGACGTGGCAAGCCAAGTGGGACTAATCCCTCCACCTAAGCGTTGCCAACTAGGATTCACTATAAAAGAACTAGACCTTTAGCGGCGACACAAGTCGCCACAAAATCCCAGAATATCGTCACTAAAGGTTTTAACTAATTTTTAACATTAAATTCTAATTTTGTGTTTTTTTCTTCATTATTTTTAAAAAACACAAATGATATCGATCAAGGAGGAGTTCAAAGACACTATATGTTTTATTTTTATTTCATATGTAAATGCATAAAATGTACAATGATGCATTATGTAGTAGGAGATTTGATTCGAGAAGTAATTTTGATGATTTTCGTAATAATATTGGATGTTTTTAATATTGATAGTGCATGTTATTTATTTTAGAAAATTAGGTTGCAACCGGAAATTAATTGTATACTAGGGAATGGTTGTGCATCCTTAGTCACCACTAAAAATCACTCATAACCTTTAATGGCAATATTTTGGGATTTTGTGGCGACTTTTATCGCCGCTAAAGGTTTAGTTCTAGTGAATCCAAGTTGGCAACACTTAGGTGGAGGGATTAGTCTCATGTGGTTTGCCATGTCACTAAAAATTTGGATAGTTAAATATTAAGGCAATTTGTGGTCTCTTGGGATAACGGCGGGGTATTTTTGATCCCAAAATATAGTTGAGGGTATAAGTGATCTATTTCGCATAATTCAAGGATGTTTTTGAACCTTATTCGATCCTTTTATAACTTATGCATGTATTAGTTATGTAAATTTCTAAATTACAAACTAAACACTATATTAATTATTTAACATTTTAATAGTAACACTCCTAAAATTGAATTCATGTCATAAAACCAATTTGAAAGAAAGCTCCTCCAAGGACGGATTAAATACTCCATCTGTCACATATTAATTGTTAAGGTTACTAAATATAATTGTCACTTTACAAAAGCAAGATAAAATTAATTATTTTTATCCCATTATATCCTTAATATTTTAAATGGTTTTGAAATGAAATTAACTTAGTCTTATTCTCAAACAAGGTGAGAGAAATAAAGATAAGAGTAGTAAAAATATTTTTTATGGCTTCGCAAGAAACTTCTAAAAGAAAAACGTGACAATTAATATTAGATCGATGGAGTATTAAATTGTTGTATTACATTTTTTGATTAACCTTACTGTGTCATAAAACTTTTGGATATTTATCCACTCATTTCACATTAGAACTTAGTTTTTCTTTTTCTTTTTTTTGTTTCCACCCAGTGTCCGGAGCCCACATCGAAGTTTGAACTAAATCCAGATCGCACACTGCAGGATCCATTCAGGGGTGGCACTCCCAACATGATGTTTTCCTATCAAGGGGTCGAATCCAAAACCTCTGGTTAATGGTGAAACGCTCCCACCAATGCACCACAAACCAATGTTGATACATTAGAACTTAGTTAATATCAAAGCCTAAGGCAAAGGCAAATATGAGACGATAAGCTAAAAATAAGAATATGTATGGACCAAAAATTAAGCAAAGAATAAAATTGAGTTATTGTAAATAGTAAGGAGCACATTTAGACATTGTTCCAACTAAAACATGAACAATCTAATCCCATAAGTGGGATATGGAGAGGGCTGTGTATACGAAGACTTTCATCCTACAAGGTAGAGAGTCTATTTCTAGTAAACGCTCGGCTCAAGTAGAAGAATCTTGGCTAAAATTCAAATGTAAAGTAAAACACAATTTCAACGGTATGACAATATTTTAGGAATAAACAAGAACATGAAAATATCCAAGATATAGGACAACTACTTCCCTCAAAAATTCATTTTCATCTTCTTTTACATGATTCTATCAAGGGTTCCACACACTTGTCACTAATCATAGTTTAAGTCTTCAAAGCATGGACATGAAGAGTAATCATCCTACAAAATGTACTGTTAACAATTAACAACAAGTGAAGATCCCGAAAACTGTGTTTTGTACATAAGACTCCACAAAGAGAAAAGGCTTACAGCAGACACAAATACTTCACACCAGACTAAATTACACAGACAAGCACAATCATCAGTCCTCCCAAATTTACACAAGACCATATCATCACATTATGGCACAACCCTTCCTTTCCTCTTGCGGCTGTGTGGCAGTTGGCGGATATCTGTTTGACTCCGATGGGTTGTAAGTAAACTCTGATGTGTCGAGTCCATACTGGGTTACAGCCATTCAAGAATTCAAGTCAGAAAAAAAAAACTTAATAGCCAGTACTATCAAACGGGAAAGAAGTTTCCCCACTCACAAATATTTAAGTGCACTTAAAAGAGTTACAAGTACATAGACGAGATAAAAACCAAAACAATCTACTGGCACAAACCACTGAAACAATAATCCGTATGCTGTCACACGGAAGTTCTTTAAAAACTCAAGGAAAGATGGTCAAAAAAAGTTCTGGCTGATGCAAAGAAAAGGTCTTGCTGTGATTGGATATTTTTATTAAAACTTAAGATAATAAAAAAAGCATCTCTGTGAAGTCCACGAAAAGGTCGAAACAAATAGAACACCAAAATAGGCACAGATTATAAAAACCATCATGATGAGTTCATAGTAACTGAAAAAGATAGTGCAGTTGGTAACGAGCAGTCAACCGAGAAGGTTAAACATCATGATCCACATCGACATGCAAGAAAATCAATCAACAGAGAGCAAACCTTTTCCCTCATACGTGTACTCCATGCATCATTTCTACTTGGACGATTATCAAGAGTAGCAGTAACAGGGACACCAGTTGCAGGATTTGCTGGTGTCCTATTGTTGATCAGTGGCTGTCGGATTTGTTGTCTGGGACCACCTATGTACTCATCATCACTATCATAGTCTGCTGGTCTGTTTGCTGCCCTTACCACGAGGGCCAATAAGAATATAAGAGCCTGCAACTCATGTAAACGGCCGAAACTGTGAGACTCAGAGAAGATTAAATCACAATTTTCAGCTCAAACAAAAATAAAAAATAAAAAGATTAAGACAAATCATTGAGACTCATATAACTAAACCCTACTAGTGTTATACTGGAACGGAAGGACAAAAAAAATATTCAGGTCACATGTTCTCTGCTGTATCCACAAATATAATCCTGAATATGGTCAAGCCAGCAGTCACCCCTGACTTTCACTAGGACCATGCCAACATCTCTAAGGTACAGTAAAAGGCCACAGCAGAGACATATATTGAACCAATAGGGATGAATAGACTATATTTACTACATTTTGCAGGAAAAATCAGCGAATATATAATGCAAGAGTATATTCACAACCACTCGAACTGTGGAGATAGACCTCTGAATAGGATCAATAGCTTGCAAGAAATCAGAAGTCATGACAGATAGCATAATAGAATTGAAGGTGAAAGAACATGGTGAACAACACCGAAAGCCCTGTTGCATGAACTTCGGTTTTTCACCCATAACCCAACAAGGTGTGATCACCAGAAAGTTCTCTTCCCCCCCCTCCCCCTTTTTTTTTTCCTTCTTGGGAACAAAAAACCATATATATCATTCTTAAGCTCACCTCGAATATAACAGCACCAAGGGCAACCCACTTAATAATCTTCCAGTGGTCATCCAGAAAATCATAGATCGTTTCAAAGTTGCCCGTTTTATCCCTTGGAATTTCCTGACAAAGGCTTTCATCACTTTTCTGACAACAAATGTATAGTTTGAAAGTGAAGTCGTGAGTGAGAAAACACTTACATCTTTCCAGCTTTTATCAAAGAATATAAAACCAGCAGCACCTAGCTCTACCAAGATCAACAAGAAAATCAACACGGAGTACTGTTCCAAGTTAAGGTGCCAAACATGCTTCATAGAAGACTGAGAAGAGAAATCAGATGAAAACTCTAGTAAATTGGATCTTCTAGAATTCCACAACGCCTATTAGAAATAGGGGTTCAGGAGAGTGTAGTGCAACAAGGCAGGAGGAGAAACTGAAAAATCAATTATTAGGAAATGTAATCCAATCCATCTCCCCCTGACATGACAGAGTCTGGATTAATCCCAATATAGTCCAAGACTCATCCAGGTAAGATTTCACAAATCTGACTGAAAATGTTCCTATTGATCCACATCATATGTTCCCCAACATCATAACGTCTATCACTTATACATATTGGCGAAAGAAGTATCTCTTCAAAAATATATTTGGTTTTCCCCAAATATATAATGGGAAAATTACATTCTACATCTACTAGGAGAAAATATTTACGTCACGTAGCCCATATTTTGAGCTCGTTACCTGGTTTTGCCCATATTTGTGTATAAACACCTTTCATACACTATTGTACACTTCTATACAAGGTTGATACATTAGGTATAATGCTCTCCCAGTCTCCCAGGTATAATGTTGTATAATATTATATGTCAGACTACATGGCATAATATTTTATGTGGGCTGTATATTTTTTAAAATTTCCCATATATAATTAATCATGAAGACTGAACAAATGATAAGGATACACAACTCAGGCAGCAACCGTTCCTTGTTGCCGCTCCAATGCAACCACAGCAAGATACAACTACAAGAACTGCTCCAATACCAATAAACAAATATATGAACCTGCGACATAACAAATGGGTCAATACTTCATTCCAATCCGACCAACTGAACATCAGAGCATGAAATTCAAACATGGAAAGACAGAACACCAAATATGAGTCATCCCTTCCAGAAAAACTTTATCCAAGCAATAAAAAGAAGAAGTCTTGTCATCCTATAATCTTTACAAATCATGTAGTCAAGTTCTGAGAATTCACACCCACTGACCACTCAAACTTTAAGACATATTATGACAAAAAAGTTGTTGTCTCTGTTTATAATTCAATAATGGACACACACAAACAGGTGCGGACCATATATAGTTCATTTTCCTCATTTATACTTCCATGCTTCTTTAGCTCTACACCTAGGAAACATCTAATTCAACCTTGGCATATACTTGCTTCAAAAAAAATAACCAATGCAAGTTTTCTCAAACTTATCAGCGAGAAAAGTAAAACAGAAAGAATTGGCTATCATTTTAAAAGGATTGCAGCACAACTGACCAATCCATCCTCCCAAATGAAAGAAACATTTAGGCCATCAATAATCCCAAAAGGGTCATGACTTGTTTTAAATAAATACTCATAACAAGAAAATATAGAAGTATTAATAAATTATAACTAAATATCGTTTCACATCCGTTTTCAGAATTAAATTTTGACAATTCATTATACGACTTCTTCAACATAGTTCAGTTTTATAGTTGCTCCTTAAATATAGAGGGCCATGTTACTTCATTGGGGGAAAAAGTCTCGATCATTTCCACAGAATGAACTTTAAATTCTCCAGCAGATAAAAAACAAAAATTCCCTACCCCAAAACTGCCACTTCATATGTTAATGATGTTAAATACTTGAACACGAGAATCACAGAAGCAGAGGAATCTATTTCCACTTTGTATACAGTAGAAAAAGAGCAAGCGGCATTAAGAGATTGTGAAAGGTTTGGTTAGATTGGGACCATGACTAAAATGGTTAGAAATGCATGTAAAGAGAGATGGGAGAAATACGAGCCAATCCCTTGTAATGGCAAGGAAAACGCAGCATGGATCATTATATCTATGGGATGAAGAAAGATGGAAATGGTGAGCCCAGAAGCAGCAGGGAGTGAGGCTAGTGGGTGAGGGATCAAAGAGGATGTAATAGAATGAATTGAACTCTCAGTATTTAACTGGTTGAAGACTACTTTGGGTATTCAGAGATTTTAACTCAATTAGTTCCCTAGGGAAAGAGATGGAATGTGATTCTTTATCTAGGGTAAAAGTTCTCGGAGCTTTTATTGATTATCTGTTGACTGATGATAAGTGCTCCAAATCAAGGAGTCAAAGTGAAGATCTAAACTAGACTAGTAGCTTCTTAGCATCCATCCCACAGGAAGAAATGACATTGCGCATAAATCAAAACCATCAGCCTAAACTTGCATCAGATCATTTGCCTTTCCTACAACAAAACTAAGAAGACTACAAGAACCTTTCAGAGTTTAGAATATGTGGTTGAAAACGACAGATTTTGGCAAATGGGTGAGACGGTGGTGCAGTAACCAGATTCACAGGAATCCGTAGTTCAACCATGTGAACAAACTAATAAGAAATCTGAAAGGGGGATCTTAGACAATGGAATCAGGAAGTATTTGGAAGGATAGAAAAGTCGAGATGACAGTTTTTTTTTTTAAAGTAACGAGATGTCGGAGTTGATGAACAATTGGAGGATAGAAAGAAGGGAAGGGGGTTGGAACTAGATGATCGCTATAAATGAGGAAACAGGAAATCAAGAGAGTTAGTTTTAACGGATATAGTGCAAGCAATTAGATAGAGACAAAAATCTAGGGTATACGTAGTTGAAGGAAGGGGATTGCGATACAAGTTCTCCCACTGCAGGTTATAGTGAAATAAGGGAGAAACTTCGTAGAAAAAACACAAAGTGGGAGAACCAGTTACAATTGAAAGGAAGGGAGTGAAAGACGCAATTATCTGTTGTAGAGGCCTCGACTGGGCAGGTTAGAATTAGCCAAACAGCAGAGAAGATGAAGGAATGGTTGAAAAGAAAAAACTCGAAAAAGGAATTGAAGTAAGCAGTTGAGAATTATACCTGAGATAAAGCACTAGGACCTAACAACTTAACTTTACCCTTATTTCAACAGTGTTTGGACAAACTTGTAGAGAAAATTCAGGCTTTTCATGAGACTGAAATCTTTGAGACCACCACCTCCTTTCATATAGCAACCATACCAAGAAGGATGGTGCAGCAAGTACTAAGGACTACAAACATATTAGTCCAGTGAGAAGCATACACTAGATTATTGTGAAGATAATTCTTAATTTAGTGGATGACATAGTGACCTCCAAGAACATGTTCGTGGAAAGCAAGTGAATTATGGACACAACACTTGTTTCATATGAAGTGTTGGGCTCTAGAAGAAAGGAAGGAGCTGCAGGAATTTTGTGCAAGTTACGATTAAAAATGATTACAATCATGTCAATTGAAACTTTTGGACTACAATGATACAAGATGTGTTTGGAAGAAAGAAAGAGGAAATGAAAGGGTTTCGTGTATCAATGGTGAAATACTTAGTATTGGTAAACAGGATTCTAACTGGTTTCTTTGCGGGCTCTAAAGAGTTGAAGGAAGGGATCCACTATCTCTCATACTATTCATATCGGCCATGGAAGCACTAAGCAAGATAAATGGATGGATGGAGCAGGCATGGCCACAAGGAAAATAAATTAGTAACACGAGTATCTAGTGTAAGTTGAAGTACAATAGATACCAATTAGCAAATACAGTTAGCAAATAACCTCTAAAGTCTCTAAATTTTTTGCCTTTATCCTTTTTAACTGTGACATTCCTCCAAAAAAACAAGAGCAAATACAGTCAGCGATACAACTTCACAATCATCTCAAAGACAACTTCAACAGAAGCGCACGAACAATCAAATAAGATAACTACTAAAGTGAAAAGGGTATTCATACCAAGGTTTTGGAAGTTTATCAAAGATGTTTCCAGCCAACGATACAGCCATCAGCATTGGACGACCAAACTCTATCATGTCACCACTCATAGGTGGTGCAACTGGGTAATCATCCCCAGAGTGTGAATGATTTTTGTACTCAACAAATAGATAAATGCCATACCCCACCATTGTCAAACCAACAAGGGTCAACAAAAAGTTCAAGAGCTTCAACAAGCACTCCCAAAACCCTTTGCACGCCATCCTCTACAGTTCCTTCAGCAAACCCTTTACAACAACAGCTCCTTCAAAACAATTTCAGCTAAATCATCAAATTTCCCAATTCCCTAAAATACCAGCATACACAAAACAACTCATCAATACTTCAGTTTATCCAAAACACATAAAAGACTCAAACTTTACCACAAAACAAACACAACCCCATATTTGCATAATCCATTCAATTGAGAAAAAATAATAATCAATAACATGAAAATATGAAAATTCTGATTATGGATGGATCTGAGAAAACAATTAAAAGGGGTTATTATTAACATGAAACTGAAACTATTGAAGCCAGAATCTTGAAATATAATCAACATATAAGATAGAAATGGAATTATCAATTGAGCTTATCCAAAAAAAATTAATTAAAAATTGGATAATGGGTCAAAAAATTACTTACAAGAAAGGCAGAATTAGCAGGAGATTTGAGATCGGAAATGGTGGAAGGTTCGAAGAAGATGAGAAGAGAGGTATATTTGGTTTGAGGAAGAGAAAAAGGAAAAAGGGTCGAGAAGGTTAGCTGGCTTGTCTGGTACCTCTGTTTTCGCTAAAATGGATTATGCTAGGGCACTCCTATTTTTGCTATATCAACCTCTTCTTTTTAATTTAGTCGGGTCAGTGATGGAATGATAAATATTCTTTTTTTCCTTTATTAAGTTGAGGTCTCGATTCTCAAGTTTTTATTTGGATGATTATTAGATATTGTCCCATAATATATTGTATTGTATTATGTTGTATTAATATTGTAGTGATAGCTACTCAAAAATAACTTAATTATGTTTCATAGTTATAGTTTACTAATTACGATTTGTAGCTACATGTTAAAGGAAGGAGAGATGCAAGCAAGATAGGGAGAGGGAGGAGAGAGTTGAGTGAGAGAGGGCAGAGAGTAATGGAGAGTGGAGAGAGACGAATTGTATATGTATATTTGTTGAATTGTATATGTATATCTGTCAAATAATTGTATATATGCAACTGGTATACATATGTATTTGTATATTTGGCGAGTGAGATTGGGAGAGGGAGGAGAGATGCGAGAGAGAGTGGAGAGAGGCGAAATATATATGTATATCTGTCAGATAATTGTATATATGTAATTGGTATACATATGTATTTGTATATTTGGCGAGCGAGATTGGGAGAGGGAGGAGAAAGGCAAGCGAGAGAAGGTAAATAGTGGAGAGAAGAAAGCGAGAGAGGTGTTGACACCCAATTTTGACCCTCCCCGATAATAATTAATTTCTGAGTTTCTTAATTTTCAAATGATTTAAAATAATTGGCTTTATAAAATTCAAAATATTTTTCAAGTTAGTTTTAAATGGTTTGTCACTTTTTATAATTTTTAAATAATATGTGTATACTTTTGAACTTTATAAATATTCAAAAATCGTCTCACAATATTTTGTTTAATTAAATATTTGGTTAGTTTGTTTAGTTATTTAATAGTTTACAATTTTGAGTTCATTAGTTAGTTTATAATTAAGTTAGTTATTATATAGTTATGTGTCTAATTAGTATATTTTATGAATATTCGAAAATTGTCTCAAAAAGATTTTAGCTTTATTTAAACATTTGATTATTTAGTCGTTTATATTGTTAAGTTAATTAGTTTATAATTAAGTTAATTATTTTATTTCGTTAAAATTAAAGAGCTCATGAATTAATTATATTAATCCGTACTTTTTGAACTCTAGCCGATCTTATTGTTACATCTTTAATCTTCAGTTGGTTTTAATTTAGATTGGTATGGCCAATTTAAAGTCAATTCTATCTTGATGAATTTTTAAAGACCAACTTTGGGCCAGATTCAGCCCCTTTCCAGCAACCCATTTCTCCTCAAACCCAATTCCTCAATTCCCTTTTTTTTCCAATTCATACGTACAGCAACTCCAAAATAATACAACATTCAATTACTCCCAGCCCACCCTTAATTAACCGACCCGACCCAGCCCATAAAACAAAAGAAAAACCCATTCATACAATACAATACATTTAACAGACCCATACACACATACAGTACCAGCCGACCCCACTCCCAGCGTCTTCCCCAAACTTGAGCAGAAACTCCAGACGCAAACCCAGCGAAACCATGACCCTGTACGCGCCCCATCTTCTCCAACGCGTGAGCGACGCGAGCAACGGCTCCAAGCGACGTCAACTTTCCGTCAAATACACGGAAAGCAATAGAGGCGTGAGCGAGCCAGTCCTAGTACACTGCTCATTTTGTCGTCTTCCTTATTTTCCCTCTGCAGCAACGCGATTCAGAGCAGCAGGGCGACGTGCTTTCGTCCTTGTGGCCTCGAGATAGAGCCACGTTGCTCGCCAAGGACACGGGAATCGATCCCAACCGTCCTTCTACCCTTTCCTCTTCCGGAAATGGCCAAATTTCGGAAAAAGGGTGTCTCCCCTTAATGGTGAAAGAAGTTTTTGGGTTTTAAAATTTTCGGATGGGCTTTGGACCCAGATTTTTCATTCACTTTCCCTCTGTTTTGCCCTAATTCCCCTGTTATATATACCCTCTGGTTGTTCACTGTAGGGGGGGGATTTTTGAAAAAAAAAAGGGGTAGGAAAAGGGTTGGATTTTTATTAGGCAAAATACTAAGGAGAGTTCGAGGAGAAATATTTTGAATATACAATACACCTCGAAAATAGAGGGACAATAGTTTCAGTTTTGGGTTCATTTTTTCTTTTCTGCCCAGATTCCTTAAATCATTGTTCGGGCTCAATTTGGGTGGTGGAAGCCCATCGCCTCCTGCTCGTTCGTCCCAGATTTGCTGCTCCGAAAGAGGTAAAATCTTTTCTAAGCTTTGTTCTGTTCAATTCCTAGTTACTCTATGTGTGCTGTTTTAGATATTCTTAATCATGTTTTGGTCATTACATGTTAACATTGTTTATATTAATGATAGAGATTTCCTTTGTTCTTTCTTGAGGTTTTGCTACTGTTGTTATTAAAATGCAATAGAGCTCTCAGTTTATTTCCCTGTTTTCCCATGAAGTTTCCCTCTGTGGTGTAAATGTTGACTATTTCTAATCTATATATCCATTTGTCTGCCTCTTATAACTGACTTCATGTCTGCTCGAAATGTATAATTTGCTTACGAGATTTCTTGTATGATCTTGGCCTCTTTGAGCAGGCCTCAAGTTTAGGACTGTGTTGAAATTTACATTAGCATAAGCTTTTGTTTGCCTGCTAGGATTAGTAGTTTTACCTTGTGGGATCATGTTGTTTCAACTGTTCATTTTTTTAAGCCGTGAAGGCTCAATCATTTCTAAAGGTTTAGCTTTTTTTCGTGTAATTAGTATTTGATACGGGACAATTCTTTTACTTCTTGAAAATGAATGCACCTGCTTGTATTCATAGATAGTTGTCCATCAAATATGCTATTTAGTTGCTAGTGTCTTGGTTTTATTTTATTTTGGTTTTGTTTTTTCCCAGTTAGCGCTAATAGATAGTTGGTTTGAATGTTAAGATTTTGTGAGAGCATTAATGTTATGATATTATTGCATTGCTTTTCCCTTATGTGTTTTAAAATACAATGACACCTTTTGTTAAAAAATAGGATTAAAGCATTGGTTCTTATCGAGTTTCGTTCTTATTTTTTATTAAGGAATGTCTAAATTTCATTTACCAAGTTTAGTAACTTCAAATGTGCTCTCTGTTATAATGAGTTTGAAATCTTTGGACAATTGCCTCATATGTTTTTTTTTTTTTAGAAAAAAATAAAAAATAAAATTGTATATGAGAAGTGCAAATCTATGTAGTGTGGAATACGTGTTTGTTTGTTAGCATGTGGTCATTAATTGATCATATTTAAATCATTATCAAGCGGCGATCTTGGGATGACACATTATTTTATCTATTGTTGGCTTTGTATATGTTTAATCTTAACTACATTATTAGTTGTTTAATGTCTTTTGAGTGTCACATGTACCGATTAGGGCCCATTTCTGTGATATGCCTTGTCTTCTATTTAGATTGTTTAAGTTAAAATGCAGTAGTATCTGAGCTTAATTTTCGTGACTCTTTCTTACATTAAATTAGTGGTTATTTACTTACTTGTTTTCATTTTGTTTCATGTGAAATTTGTCCGAGTTCACCATGAACTCCCATATTTTTCCTTGCATATCGAGAGAGCCATAAAGGCTCAAATGCCACCTCCATTGAGTCAGCCAATCGCTAAAGTCGATGAACAGGTCCCGGAGTTGAAAGGACACGCAATAATTTGGAGAATTGAAAATTGGGCCAATCTTAATTTCAGAAGATTGTATTTTGTTATTTTTTGGGCTTAAGCCCTTGTTATTTTAATTTCATCTTATTAGTATTTAGGACAGGTGGAAGACGGGCCTGAGGCCCAAAGAAATAACTTTTATGTTAGTTTAGGACAGGTGCAGATAACTCAAATGGGCCGGAGGCCCAAAACAAAAAATGGGCCCAAATACTGGTCCAGGCGGACAGAAACCAGATTTGGGTCCAACTCCCTTTCCCTCTTTATTTTATTATACTTGTGTACTTGTTAATATTTGCCGCTAACCTTAAGGTCGAAAAATTCAAATCCCCGCGAGACGTTCATTTTGACTTAACAATTTAACTAAACCGATCATCTCTTACAAAACTTAAGTATAAGTTTACAAAATATTTCGCTTAGATGAATATTTCTGCATATTATTTAAAATGGTCCTAACTAACAAATAGTTCAAATTTTGCAAGTTAAACTAAGTAAAAATTATTTTAGCCAAATAATTAATCGTCGGATAACCGCATTAGCGGATATTCTAGGTGCTTTAAAAACCTTCCTAGAATATTAATAGGAACCTCGAACTCCCTTAATAGTTTTCAATAGATTTACTGTTTTAGTCTTTTGAAAATAATAGTTTTCTTGATTTTTCTTAAAAATTAAGTGGCGACTCTAAAACCAGTCCAAAATATACTTTTTAAATAAAACAAGAGGCTAATTGTATTTGTATAACTGTCATATATATATATAAGCGACGTAATTACAACTAAAATTAAGTTGCGAGCCGTAATTAATTCAAACTATAACTATGTTAGCTAATTAACTAGTATATGTTTTCTTATCCGCATAATTTTCTCTTATTTTTATTTTAACGAATACAATGTTTGGAGAGATTGTATGATTTTCCGTTACATAATTTGAATGATAAATCACCCAAAAAAAAAAGGAGAGTAAAGAATAAAATAGAATTATTTTATGAAATAATAAGTAAAGAACACAATGAAATTTTTTTTAAGATAACCGATCACACCAAAATGAAACTTTTCCTTGTTACCTAACAATGAATTTAAATGATACGATACAATTAGATTTAAGTAACAATCAAAACAAACATAATATTTAAACTGACAATATAATCCAAAACAATGGTTTACAACTTACAAGTTACAATAAACCATCCGAACAAGGTGTAAGTTTATAGACATCTAATTATCTTTATTCTTTTTAAAAATTCTTTTCAGATTATGAATTTGTTATGTAAATAACATGACAAGAAAATGAATTTTGCAACACTTAACATATCTTTAATTTAAGACCACAAATTTAAAAATCTTATTTATTTTCTTAAATTTCTTAAATTGAAAAGTTTTTTTTTTTTTTTTTTTATTAGGTCTTTGTGAGTTGGCATTATTATTTGAATACCCCAATGGAAACTTTAAGCACCACTGAACATGACTCTATTATTAATAGTACTCAAGTCCTAGTCCTAGCAAATAAAAGTGCATTGACTTTAAGCATTCACTAGAACCTTTTTTTTAAAAAATAAACACCGCCCACTTAATCCTAATTTTATTTTTATTATACACTAATAAATAAAATAATGAAAATGATATATGTATTAGAATAGAAATTGTATCCCGTATTATAAATGTCATAGTTTACCATGACATATGGTTGAAAATACTATCAAAATAAAGAGAAAATATTATCGGCTAATACACGTATTATTTTTCCTAATATCTGGTATCAAATGACTCCTTAATTATATATTTTATTCAATATTATTCATATTTTAATATAAGAAATCAAACGATATAAAATAATATCAATATAATGAATTTCAACATTATTAATATATCTTTCTTTTTAGTAATAATATTTTTATAAATCCTATCAGACCGATTCGTAATTTTGAGAGTAATAATAATAGTAATACAATGTGAAAAGTGATAAAGCTAAAAAAAAAAGATAAGCTATCACCAATAAGGATTGTGGTGGAGAGATAAATACTCTGTCATCCTCAACTAAATGTCTCGAATTTGAGTTCTCTTAGGTGCGAAATCTCCTTTGTTAAAGAACATTTTACTCCTTAATATAAGACTTTCTAACGCGAATTTAAATTTATTTGGGCTCGAGAAAAAATTATCAACCGTTTGTAAAGCAGAGTGACAAGCTGTACACTACAAAAGAAGTGGGGTACGACACCCACCGCCCACCTTAATTTATGACCCTAATTTAATGGGCAACAAACAACATATAGAATGTAAACTGGTTCACTAAAAAAGATGGTTGTGTACTTAAACTTTATCATAATCTTGTGAACTCGGAGTGGCTATTTCTGAAAGACTTTCGATTCAAGTAAAATAATTCAAAGCAGTTTCATAAAGGAATCATACGAAATAACAATATATGAGGTATAGAGAGGATAAAATACACGCAAACCTTAAAACTATTTCATAGAGATAAAGATGTTGTTTTCGAAAGACCCTCGATCAATTATATGAAATAAATGTTGTTTAATTAAGAATAATTTAATGAAAATACTTCTTAGCTTTCTAAGAATGAGTAACTTCTTAAAAATCGAATGTGTGGAAACTAAAAACATCATATGAATCGTAGAGAGTAATTAATTACTACTAAGATCAAGCTAAAGGACCCCATTGGTAGGTCAAGATTATATAATGTTTTTGGCGGGGTGATAATTTTGAAATTAAAGTCAATAAAAAGATTGAATTTTTATTTTTTTATTTTATTTTATTTTATTTTTAAAAAAAAACATTCTCAATCATTGAATAATTCCGACCATGTTATGACAATTTTATCAATCTAGGCCAATAGTATATGTTTCTTACAAAATATATGATCAATTAATATATCTGCTTTATAGTGGACCTAGTAATTCACTTTTTTTTCTTAACTAGTGTTTGGCTCTCATCACTTGGCATATTCCACCACTTTCAAGAAACCATATCCACTAAAAAAAATGTCATTTCATGAAGAGTTTTGTTACTCTGTTTTAATTTGTTTGTCACATTTTGATTTGATACGATATTTAAAAATTGAATAAATTAATCTTGTTAGCTTATCAATTAAAGGTATAATAGATGTAGTTGGTAGTAGAAATTAGTCACAGTGAAGGTAATGACTGATAGTGAGGATAGAGGTGGAGGTGATGGTGATGATCGAAGAATGTATAATAATAGTTGATGGTGATGTTAGTTGTGATAAGCAGAGTTTGTTGGTAATAGGAGTTGACAATAGTGGTGGTGGAGGTGCGATAACTATAGAGACAGGGTGGTGGTGCCAATGAATTTAATTATAATAATGAGGAAAGTAAGTGTGGTAACAACTGACAGTAGTAGTTAGTAACTCTGGTGGTGGTTGTGATGATAAATATGATTGATGGTAAGATGACAGTAATAATGGTGGTAACAGTAGAGTGATGATGAATGTTATCCCCATAAGAACACCTCTTAATATTACTAAGACTCTGTTCTAGATCAATAGATCTTAATGATTAAGACATTTTTAGACCAATTAAGTGCTTAAATATTAATGAAAATAAATGCGCTTAATGACCTAATGTATAAATCATTCAAATTCAGACATTCATTAAGTGCAAACAAATGATGCCTAAATTCCTTTTCAATTATCATTTTGAAATTCAAGTTCACCTCAACTTTCAAATATCACGTTTTAACTTGTAGTAATTAGTTCGGCAAAGTCCAATAACTTAGACTCAAACCTTGTATTTGCATTGAAATTTTTATTATATATATATATATATATATATAAATAATCTATTTAAAACTCGATAAACAAAAAGAATTTGAATTTATAACCCATAAACTAAGGATGGTTTATTCATTATTTTCCAAAGAAATCAATGGAGCACACTCATCAGCCCAAACATCCAAATTTGGGCTAGAAAAAAAAGGGGAAAACCCATATTTGGATCCATTATTTACAACAACCCGATTTTGATCTTCGAGTCAATGCCATACATGTGGCAAACTCTGTGCCAATCATTTATTCATTCTTGAGACATCAGAACCCCCTCGGGTCGGGTTGGGTTATGTCATGGTGCATGGGTCCATCAAGTAATTGGAGATTATTATTTTTTGACATACACCACCTGTGGGACCTAGAAAAAAATAGATTGACTTTTCATCTCATCTTCGATAACGGGAGCCGTTGATTTGTGAAGGGATGATTGAGATCCCTCGTCTAGAAAGTTCGTCAAGAACGCCCTCCGTGGAAGGAGGTTTTAGGCCCAAAGGAAGTGGTAACCATGGTTTGGTTATTGCCTCCTTTATTACTTTATCAATCACCTCATCCGCCTGCACCACAAAATTACAACAAAAAAAACTTAAGAAAAAAAAAATCAATCTTAAAAATGTTTTAATTTTTATATTGGAAACGTAAACTTTTTTTTACACTATCAAGTTACTAGGAAATCAACAATCATATCATATATTATTATAAGTGGGAAGTTCCAACATTCAAAGTTGGATTACCATTTTGCCCCTCCACTAAATCAAAATAAAATTAATTAATTTATTAAATACTAATATTTTAATTACATAATGGTGGAATATGAAGTCCAACAACTACACTTCAATAATGAATGACTCTTCCAATTCAGTGACTCCTTGAATTTTGAAATCAAAATAAAATTTATGTATCATGATTCAATGTGCTCCATTAATTTGGTAGGTGAAAAGACAATCAAAATCACTGTAAATATCAGTAAATTGCTTCCTAGAACATCATATTCTTTTCTTTTCTTTTCTATCATCTACTGTTCTCTTTTCTTTTTCCTAGGTAATGATATAGATACATGTCGTCAAAAAACTAAGGAGAAGAACAGATAGCTTCATTTTGAAATTAAATAGAGAAGTTTTCTTACAATATAGTTCAAGTGTTAAACTTAGAAGTATAAGATTCAAGCGTTAAAATTAGAAGTATAAGATATGACTTAAATATTCCTTTAGATCTTTTTTATGTTAGCTTATGATTTTGAGTTTTTCTTTTCCATTTTGGAATTAAGGTATGCTTGTTCAAAATAAATTTGGTTTGCAACCCATATTTTTATGTAATTCTATATCATTTTGCATTGTTATGAAAAAAAAATTCTTTGTTTTTGTGTTATTATACTTTTAAGTGTTACTTAATTATCAAAACTTCTATCAATACATGATGAGTTTGATAATACTTGAATAGTTTATGCAATATGCTTTTGTTTAAATACAAGTAATTTAAATAAAAATTGCTAAAAGATTATTACTTTGAATGATAGATTTTGATTGTGTTACTTTGTCGTCTATCTAACATAGTGTTGCGAACACATACATATATTGTTCATTTTCACCCATTTTGTTCCATGTTTTATTTTTCTATAATTTATACAATATGAAATTTAACAATTTAATTTTCAAATAAAAATGAGAGTTACATTTACATTTATGCGACACTAAGTCTAATAGTTTTCTTAAACATAAGTATTATTTATTAATGGTAGCTTTTCGTAGTGTTATAATTCAAATTGTATGATGACAATTTTGCTTTTGGACATTTTGGTTGTTTCTTTATGTTATCCTGCGACACTCAATTGTTACTACTAAAGACTATTCCTCAAATTAAAATCATGTAAACAATATTATGAGAATGGAGTAATTAAGCTTCATTTTGTTTAGATTTTAGTAATATAAGTTAACAAGATTATTATTATTATTTTATTATCATTACTCATATATTTTTATAAGTGGGAACAAAAAAAGTTGAAAGTTGAAATATCAATATATCCCTATAAAATTGAGTTACTACAATAATGCCATTAAAAAAAGCTACTCTAAATTAAAATGTTATAAATATTTTTTTAATTATATTTAGATAGTAATTATATAATATTATAGTATACAACTATAGAAAACCCAAAAGTTGTAGTAAATACTATTCATACCATTAATAATAAATCAGTTAATAGTAAGAGACTATATACATTTAACCATATGTCATTAGTATATGAATAACTTGGATGTTTAGGCTTCTCCTTATAGATCGTGAAACATGTATTTTGAATTCTCATAGACTTAATAATGTGTATTTACTATTTCTTGAACTTTGTATCACTTCTTTAATACTCTCTATGTCCCTAATTACTTGTCCACTTTTGAATTGACACACCTATTAAAAAAATAATGATTTACATAGTGAGTTTACCATTTTACCCCTGCTAATTATGAAGTGGATGAATTAAAAACTTAAGAATTTCAAAAAGCTCTACATTTTTCAAAGTAATTAATTGAGGGTATAATAGGTAAGAAAAATTGTCCTTTCTTGATTTGTCAAAATTGACAAATAATTAGAGACAACTAAAAAAGGAAAAGTAGACAAGTAATTAGGGACAGAGGGAGTACTTTATTATGTTTATTTAATGTCAATCTTGAATTGCTTCATCTTCCAATCTTTATTGCAATATTAACTTTTGAAATGTCAATGTACATGTAATCAATCAAGGATTTATTTTCCTAATAAAATATACTCAACCTTTTCATTTATTTTCTCCATACACAGAGTTTAGAAGTTATAATTATGATTTGGCAGAATTGAGCTTTTGATGATTTAGTAGTGAACCAAGATGGGGATGTAATCCTGGTTGCCTAATAGATGCTGCTTCTTGAAAAGGTATTTAGTGTATGAAATGAAGTTTTTTGTTATTTTCTTGTTGCATCTTTTAACCAAAATAAAATTACATACTTTTGAATAAACCTAAAGATTATGTATCACATTCTAAAGATAATGGAGTTACTAGACATGTATACATGAGAATAGCATGGTTGCCTCGAATGTGGTGCATCATTATTTATATACTTGTGCCTTTTTTTTATTGGTTAAAAGCAAGTTAGTCCTATTTAGATGTTTTAATCATTTTTTTAATACTATAAGTATCAACGCTAATTCTATGTCAACAACTTCGATAGTGTTAGATGTTGTATTATCTTAATTAGTTTTACATAGTTCAACATTTCCTATTTCATGAACTACTCCCTCCGTTCTTTTGTAGTTGTTACTATTTTCCTTTTAATAGTCAAACGATTCAGATGTATTTTTCCATCATATTGATATGAAAAAAATTGCAATTTATAGTACTTTTCGTATAATTTTTGAATATCTAAATTCTTATTTCAAAATATCAAATTAGTGTAATCTAAATTAACTTTAGAAATTAGTCAAATTGACTCTCAAAAAATGTAATATGACAACTAAAAAAAGAAATAGTGGGAGTAATAACTAAAATTGTGTTAAAATTAGATGATATTGTTGTGTTTGACTAAACACATGCTTTGTAGAATAATACATTAAATTAGGCATGTACAAATTTTATAAAAATAACAGTTTTTGAAATCATGGATTTGAAGATATAAAATTAGACATGTACAAATTTTATGAAAATAATAGGGGATAAATGTGCAACGCACTCCCAAAGACTAGTAGCTTTAGAAAAGAGTGTACGGGGCGGGTTGATAATCTACTTATGATAAAATGGACCTTAGACCTAATCGAGCCTCGAAAGCTAACATGGTAAGGATTGTCCAAGACATGACTACAACCACTCCTTGAACCAATGTGAGATAATCTATAGTGACAACTAATTATACATAGTGGTTAAACAATATATTCTTTTTTCCCCCGCATTGTAGGTAATTTAGCCATCTATGGGATTACACCGAGTATGTTGTTATATCGTATGTAATTTAGATCCATTTTGGAGATGATTGGTAAAGTTTAGCCCAATACCTCCTTCATTACACACATGTAGTTTAAACACTATTATCAAAAGAGTTCTAGGCCAAGGGTGTGTTCGGTATGAAGGACAATGTTTTCCATGAAAAATGTTTCTAGGAGGATAAGTGGTTTCTTGTTTATTTTCTTATGTTCGGTACGTAAATAAAAAATACTATCCCAAAAGAATTTGTGTGTAATTTAGACAGATATTATGGAAGGGAATGGAGGCTACGAGGATGGGGTGGAAGATGAATTGTGTTGGAGAGAGGAGAAGAGTTAGGACACAATTGATGTGGAATGCTACTCGTGGAACTTGTATTCGTAGAGATAATTTTTTCCAAAAAATTTGACCAACCGAAAGGGAAAATGAAACTCAGTACATGTATATACATAAAGAACTTTGTTGATCTGAAATAGGATCTACAATATATGAAGATATCCATAACAATCCTAGTTGAGACAATCTTACCGGGTGAAGATCAAACGACTTCTCTAGCATGCTATATCTGTTATGCATTCCGTGGGGCCGATACACTCCAGCATTCTGCAGAATCCAACCCGACGTGCCATTAAGAACTCAATCCAAGAGAGCATTCACATAAAATAGCTCAAGAACATTGCTAAACAGAACATATATCTAATGGGCGCGATAATGCCAATGTATTCACCTGAGGATATGATGGATATGATCCAAACTGCGGTGACATGACAGGGGAGCCCCATGTATCAGCATGCAGCTGCATTATTAGAAAACATAAGTTTTTTAGGTATGGTATTTCTTAGACCTATAGTATCTTGTGAAATGTTTAACATAGGCATGTCACACGGTCAAACTCAGAAGGTAATTAATAGTTCTGCGAAGGACGAAAATTGTTTACCTCTGGACGAGGTGTCCAGTGCCAAGTCTCTGCAGGCTTCCATCCCGGATAGTAAGGTGAACCCCACACTTGTAAACCGTTCGGATAGCTTGCTGGTGGTACCCAAGCAGGATAAAATTGACCACCCGGGGCAACATGATTAGAATGATATGGTGGCAATGTCATGATAGGTTTATGAGGATAGTAACTTCTTTGTACTGAATCTATAGGTTGCGGATGAGGCCATCTTCTTTCTACTTCCTTTGGCAAAATTTGCCTTCGATGCATTCTGTATTTCTGCTTGGAAATCGAAAGTCAATACTATGGTTAAGCGGAAAGATATGTCAACTTCCAACTTTATTGTAGCACAACTGTTATACTACATCTCCTCGCAGGATATGTGGTCAAGATTTAGTACTATATTGTTTTCCGAAATGTTAGAACATTTATATTAAGATATGAAAGAGCAGAACTCACAAACCTGGAGATGGCTAGCTACGTTATGTCTTGTTAAGCCCTCTACTTTCATCAGGTCCAGTATTCGAGAAGGAATGGCTTGATCTATACCGAGTTGCTCTACTGCTTGAACAAACTTCTTGTGTAGTTCAGGTGTCCAATCTACCTGAATCCAAAGGAAAATATCAAACTTATTCCCCTGAAACATGTGATTCAAACTTCCGAGAATGCAGAATTATTTAACCTCCGGCCAGTCAACTATATTCAAGGCTGAAATGACCGACAACCATAGCTAACGTGCTATACTGATACCATATGTCAGATTCATACACTGTTTGAGAAGTTCAAACTTCGAGATAACAAAATGAGCTCCGTATTCATCTTATAAGCAAAATCCTGAAAGCTCCACTACAATTGATAAGTCATAGACAAAATGAAACTTGAAGAGGATGTTCAGTGATATCCATGAACTTCTCTAAGAACTTAACAGTTCATAAGGTTAAATTGAATAAAGCAAGATGAGAAAGATGCACGCAACGCCACATCTAATATCTGCATCTCATCCCTTTTTTTCTAGAAAGAAGAGATACATAACGAAAGATTACATGACTGATGAGCTAGAGCAGCAATCAAGAAGCTTGTTTTACGAATGCATGCAGAACTTATGCAACCAGTAAACAAAACATAATGACATTCTTGGACTAAAACATTATGGAACTTTGAACACATAATTACTGTCATTATTTGTCTACGAAAACGAGGAATCATTTCTTCCATCTTACCTTCATCTTCTTCTTATTGGATTTAGTCCCATTTGAACTATGGGGACCAGATGCTTTACTAGGTTCAGCAAAATGACTAATGCTTTTGTCAGGGCAGTCATTACTTTGTGAAGAGGTAGCAATATCTGTCTCCGTCTTTTGATCAGGAGATGAAACATTATCCTCTTTCAAAATAATCTCTCCTTGTTGCATAGTAGGACTTGTTTGGACATTATTCTCAGCAAGTGAATTGTTATAAGTAGTTTCGACGGATTTAGTGTCACCATCATGTTCCCCACTGTCTTGGTCAGTTGAGAAGATAGTATGATCATGGCAGTCACCATCATCGACTGACCGCACTCCTTGTTTCAATTGTGGGGTTGAGGGAGCAGGGTATTTATCACATCCCGATGACTGTTCGGTATTGCTTTCTGCTACTGCAGTGAGAGGTTCTGTTCCATTTGAACTTTTGTCATCGGCTTCACTCTTTGCTGGTTGTAACTGCAGCATTGAGAGGAGAGATTCTTTTACCGGCTCAAGTGATTTGGACACATCCTTTCTAGCATTGAATGCCTGTTGCAACCAAATAAGATCAGGATTTCCTTTTCATATAATAGGCAAGCATACTGATTTGAAAGAACATAAGCTGATCGACTGAAGTTTCGATTACAAACCTTGTGAACTACATGCTGCCATATATTTTTGAGTTTATCATCTGACAATGGTTTCTGAAGGAACTCAACTGCACCTAGCTGCAAAATATCGAACCACATTATTTACCAGAAGCAATTATCATCAAATGAAAATATGACCCCCAAGATCTCACCGCAATACACTTCATCATTGTACTAAGAGAATGAATATTTGATGTCACTGCACGAAGTAAACGAAGCTCTCTTAGACATGTTTAGCATTTAAAACATAGAAGACCACTAATGAAACTGTTCTAAACACAAACAAAGGGAATGAAAGAAAACCAAAGATCTAACTAGATAAAGCAAGGATTCATTCCCATCCAAACAAATTTGGAACACATGAATAAGTTCTTTAATACGTTACAAGTTCAAAGACTTAGAGATTCTAGCAATTCTAACTCCGCCAATATTATCATATCTGCTCAAACTAAGTTTAGTTGCAAATAACATCACTTATATTTTCGTAGGTTTAGCACTCACTTATAGTAGGTAGGTCTTTGGCACTTTCAAGAAATCGGAGAACCCCATCACTGTTGCCTGCACTTACCTGTGTCAATTAAGAGACAAATTCATCAACAGTTAGAATAACATTTCGGCCTGTGTTCACATTTTGTTGATCGACTACTGTTATAGCTGCAGAAAAAATGATGCCTAAGTTCCCAAAAATGAAACTAGTACCTCCACAATGGCAACATGAAAGCCCTCGGATTTGCTCAAGATTGCAGTCAAAGCTTCGCTCTCATTGCAGAACGAGTAGACTGCAATTACATGGTGTGTTATAACACGTGAATATGATAATGACCTTTCGTGAAGATTCACAAAATGAAATAAATTCAAGACCTCTACAAGTGTTACAACAAATTTGACCAAAAAAAACAAGCTAAGGACTGAGCAAAATGTCACCCCTAAGGCCCTAACCATATAATAAGTTTGAAGCTTCAAAAAAGCTACTTATATTCTGCTAGTCACATTACTTACAAAAGTGATTCAGAGCATTCAACAACTAGTAATTACCCCAAAATTTTGAAACACCATAAATACATACTTCCTTGTATCAATTTGTTCGTCTTCCTGTCCTTTTTAGTCCGTTTCAAAAAGAATATTTCTTTCCTTTTTTTTTGACAACTCTTTAATTTCAACTTTCTACATGGTATGTTTAAGGACATTTTGATACAATTCACATATCTTTAGTTTTAAACCACAAGATCCAAAAAACTTCTTTACTGTCTTAAACTCCGTATCAAGTTAACCAAACAAACAAATTGAAACAAGGAGTATAAACTTGCAAGAACCATAAAAAGAAAGTTAAAATTCTATACTGTTAGAGTATCTCTGCAGCACACCAGGAAAAGGTAAAAGTATGAATCTTGAATTACTTAAATGCTTTTCATCTTAAAATAGAACTATTTCCATTTAGTAGTAAATGTAAAGTTCTTTCCACATATAAGGAGAAATCAACAAAGAAACAGACCAAGCAATGCACAATTAACTTGCAAAAGTGAACTTCTGTACCAAAAGAAGTAACATAGAGGGTTAAACACCAGGTGCGAGTAAGTATTTTTCGACTTTGTTACAACTACTTACCTATGTAGTCCATTTTCTCAAGCCTTGATTTCATCTCAGCAGCAGAGTTGCTGTCTTCATCAAGAAGTAGGACTTTAAGCCCCTTTGGGAAATCATTCCAACCCAATAATTCATTCTCAATGCAAATCATTTCTAAAAAGGCATCCTTTTTAAGACATCCAAATTAGTCCCTCCAAAACATTCACTTTTTCATCAGTCATTAACTATTCAATCTGCACACCCAAAAATGAATTCCCCTCAGACATTAAAATAACAACAACATATTCAGTATAATCCCAAAAAATGAGGTCTGAAGAGTGTAGAATGTACGCAGAACTAAGATAGAACTAAGATAGAGAGGTTGTTTCCTATTTACATTAAAAAAATAAATCTTTAGAAAAAAATGTCACAGAATCAACAGAAAACCTAAAAAAAAAAAAAAGATCATCTTATTCTTTTTCCAACAAACCTTATAAAGCTTGAATCTTTAACATCATCTAACAAAAAAGGAAAGAGGTAAAGACTGTATTTTTACCTTTAAATAAGACAAAAAACATAAAAGCAACCAAAAAAAAAAAACAGAAAACCCCATGTGAGAGATCTTCAACATATTAACACCAAAAACACCAAATGTGAAAACACAAACATTACAATTTCAAGAAAACCTTAGTTTTCAAAATTAAGTGGAGAAAAAGCACAAGCAAGAAAGTTATTTTTTCTAGATGCATGAACATGTAAAGAAGAATCATAGTGATACATACAATGCATGTAAATTCAATAAGAAATAAGTATTACTATAGTATATATTTTATATGTATACCCTGTATCTCTTGGGAAATGAAGAAGACTTAGCTCATTTGTTCTTGTTTTTTTTCTTCTTCTTTTAAAGGGTCGTTTGTTGATTATAGTTAGGTGGGTCGAAAGAAACAAGATAAAAGGGAAGGGGGTCGGGTAGGGGTTTAGGGGAGACAATGAGACTGTTGAAACAGAGATAAACAGAATTCAAGAAGAGAGAGAGAGAGTGGTGCGGGGAGTTGAATGTGCTTTTTAACTTGACTTTATCTGATATTTAGATATGTTAATTTTAGTGTGCATAAGTGTAGATACATGTGTCCTACCTGATAATGTGTTTTCTATTTGGTGTCCTACGCGTGTTATGCCACGTAAGATGCATGTATCTACTTATTCAATTTTATACAAATATAAATGGCTATTTATACAAGCTCAAAATTGCAGTCTACAGGGCGTAGATATCAGCTCAAGTCAAATTAAATGAAATATTTACGCATTATGCTAATATGCATCAACTTTCGATATTACTTCCCACATCGTATTCTCTATTGAAGTCATTTTCGTTGTGTCCTGAATATTCTCATTTTTAATCATATTTATATTAACATAACCACATATCTATTATAATATTCTTATCTCTGTAATTTTCAATTTCTAAACGTGAGAGTTCTTGACTGACCAACGGTATTGAGTACTCTACCCATACATACAACATAGTTGGAAAGAATTTTTTCAAATGCCTACTTTTAGTTATTTTCTTTTACCTTTATAGAAAGTGAGATCATTATTTGCTAATCATCCTTACTTTTCTAATCATTCACTTTGTATAAGAATAATAGTACCTTACTCTTTAAATGATGTCACAAAAATAACCATCTTAAAATCTAAACAAAAGATTCATCCTTTTTTGCTACCTTTTCTCTCTATTTTTTCCACCTAATATAACTTTAAGATCATGATTAATCTAAATTTTAATAGAAAAAATTGCTATCAATTCATCTATAAAAAAATACTTAGTCTTTTGATAGATTGTGTTGCATTGTCCATCAGAATTTTTAAACTGATAGCATATTTATCGTCAAGCATCTCTCGAAAAAAGTACATACTATCTTTTATTGTATGTGTTCTTTATTATAATTTTCATTTTCAATATTTGAGATTTAATTTTTTTAATTAACGATTAACGATGAAAGAATCATATTTATCGCGTTTGACTTGGTGGTACCGTTTTTCTCGATAATGCAACGCAATCAACTTATACCATTATTTACCATCGAATCAAACTTTTGCATTTATTCTTTTTGCTTTTTATCATTTATGGAGAACATGATTTTCTTTTCTAAATCTCTTAAAACGACATATGTATAGAATTTTTATTTTTTAAAAAAAAAAAAACTTCTCATGGAGGGAAGGTAAAGTAGAAAAAAAAAGTGGTTGAATTCCTTTTCTAAAAGAAGAATGGATCTTATCCTCCATGCAGATTCCCTTCCCCCTCCTTGGTGCAGCCGCGTATAGTTTAGGGTGGTCAATCGAACAGTAAAAAAATTATATTATATATAAAGAAAATTACGAAATATATAAGTTAGAGATTATTTTATATATATATATATATATATATATATATTAATCTTGAACACCCTTAATGAAATTTTTGACTCTATTGAGAACTTATGATTATGGGAATTTTAAATCTAAAACATCTCAACAATTTTCTGAAATTTAAGCGGGAAGTGGAATTTCTGAAGAAATTTTAGAATATGTTGGGAAAAGTTATTTGAATAAGAAAAAAAAAACTTTTTAACAGCTATTGGTTGGATGGTTGTTACATATTGTATTGTATTATGATATTAGTTTAAATATAATATTTGTTTTAATTGTTATTTAAATTATTGTGACGGATTGTTAAATTCATCGTTATGTGATCGCATTGTTACCTTCTTTTTTTTTTCTAATCTTGTCTTTATTTGTTATCTGATAATCTTATTTTATTCTTTAATTTGTTCTACCTTTCTAGTTTCTATGATAACTGTACTTTGTATCCTACTTTTTTCGTAAGTTTTCTTTCAAAATTATTAGTATCTGACATATATAACGGCGAAAAACGATACGGTAACAACCATGTTATTAGTTTCACTCAAACTCACAGAAATAAACGTACAATATTCAAAAGCTAAAAGGCTCCAGTTTTCTTTTTAAATTAGTTCTCTATCACTTATGTTGTTAGCAAATCACAAGATATTATCTTCAATTTATCTATTAATTAATTCACTCATTTTTAATTTGAAATATACCAGTTACCAAATTAATTAACTCCTCATTTTCCCCTATAAATTTAAATAATATACATCGTTAACATAAAATATATATCTTTATATACCATCAAATCACATTTACCTGTTACACCGATATGACCTATCTTATTTTTGTTATTAAAATTCATGTATACGACTTGTGCTGATATGCAAAACTGGATAAGAATAGAAAATTAATTAATGAAAAAAATTATGGAATTCACGAGCTCACTATGACTGACACCTTTTTCTCACGTGAATTCTTTTACTCATTTCAGCATTAATCCAATTATTCTTTTTTTTTAAAAAAAATTAAATTTTCAATTTCACAAATGTACAATAAAATCTATATAACATAAAAAAGGTAATAAAAACATCGTCCTTTTTAAAAAAAATTGAATGCAAAAAAATAAATATTGGTGGCTCCTTATCATGAATGAGTCAGATGATGTTGTACGCAAAGTTAGCATTAATTTGCAGTGTCGATGTCATGTACAAGGTTTACGTGATCATATTATAAAAGATTATAAAATTATAATTTGTGGCAATTTTGATTAGTCGAGTTATAATCTTGCACTTGATTTATTATAAATTTAAGTTCTATTAACTTGAGATTTAAACGGAATTGAAATAGAAAATGATATTGTGTTTGGTTATAATTTTTTCCGAACAATTACTCCAAAATAAGAGAAAATGGACCCTTGATCAACAATTCGAAATACTAGGGCAGTTAGTTTGAACATCTGAATAGTGCACGGAAAAAAATGAGTCATTAGTAGAAATAATATTTTTGAGCCATTTTGCTAGTTGGAGGACATTTTAAAGCCAAACAACACATAACAACGAGGATATTTTTGAGTAAAAACATAATCAAGAGTATATTTCAGTTATTTTGAATAGTTCAAGTATATTTTTAGTTTTTTCCCCTACATAATTTAACGGTAAATTTGTTCTTTTTTTCCTTATAAAAATATCTCTATGTTTATGTCATTAGGAAATAAGGATATATTTAAGCCGATTTAAGTAGGAATATATTTAAAACCCAATTATTAGTGAAAGATAAATTTGAATCATTTCACAAAATGAGGCAAATTTGAATTTTTCTTTTCTCTTTTAAATAAATGAAAGTATATGGTTCAAATTAATATGCAATTATACATGGTGGAAGAATTCATCATATTATTCTACTTATTGCAAACATCCCTCGAGTTTGGTGGGGTCTAGCTAGTCCGTTTTAATTTGTTTGATTTATTTTGATTTGACATAGAATTTAAGAAAATTAAAAAAAATATATTATAGTCTTAAATTAAAGATAGGTCAAATTTTTATTTTGTGATCTTAAACATATCACGTGAAAAGTTAGAATTAAAGAGTTGCTAAAAAAATGAAAAAATTCATTCTTTTTTAAATAGACTAAAAAGTCAAACAACCTGAAACAAATCGGAAGAAATATCAAACTAGTAATTTATTTCCTATCAATTGAAGTCAATCTCCACTCTCACTTTTTCAAGGTTTGGGTGCGCACATAATATGATATAAATTAAAGATATGATTGCGTGAGGATAATATTTTATGTTGCTTTGTATATTTTTGAAAAAATTCGGACCACTCAAGATTAGATTGAGCTCCTCTTGAAAGGACCTTAAATAAAACCATGCAAGCAAATTAGCATGCATATCACATACGAAAGAAGAAAAAATTAAAGCTATTAATAGATTCAACCTAATTGAAAAATGGAAATTACCAACCTGAGTTATAATGCAATAATGAAACTGTTTCATCCTTGATCAAAAGTCTTGGCCTGTTCGAGCTGCAGGCTCCCTAATAGCAAGTGAGAAAAAAAAATAGAAATTAAGAAATCTATTACTTCTCTCTCTATATATATAGTTCATAAAAGTGATGTTTATTTGTGTGATTAAATCCTATACTTAATGTCACGACCCAAACCGTCGTGATTGGCACCCACACTAATCATCCGGTGGGAGAACAACTACTACAACCCAAACCAAGCAATCAATCTAAAAACTAAGGCATATAAGTCAAATACTAAGGAAAGAGAATAGAGTTTTCATAAACTATAACAAAAGTTCAACAATAACTAACAAATGCGGAAGAATTAACCTAGAACCTGAAAGTCAATGTACTAAAACTCTACAAACGACAAGTCTAAGAACAAGGGGTACAACTCCGAAACTAAACAACACCTTAAATAAAAAGTCTGAGTCCGAAAAGAGTAGACTTAAACAAGAAAGATCCATGGCAACCTAAAAGAACTGGCTCACCCTTGAATCCGGTCACGCTCATAGTCACCTAGTTGGGGTCTATCAATAGTTACCTGAAAATGCCATGTACTCAATAAAGAAAGAGCAAGTGCAGTATCAGTACACAACCACCGTGTACTGGTAGGATTATGCGGCTATCCCACTACGTGTAGCATATCAAACATATACAATATCATCAATAAATACGAACAATGAACAACTTCACGATTCTGACATATCACAGTTATAACAATTTAGAGCAACATACTGTCTTCCAATATCAATCATCATTAGATATGAACGAACTCATCACAAGTAGATGCACAACACAATTCAATGGTCCTCTCATGGAACCCAAACCCAAACAGTTAGCATGCCGGAACGTGGCAATCCGATTCAAGTTAGTTATGTCGAAACATGACAGCCGATCCCATGTTTATGTCGGAACGTGGCAATCGATCCCATAATTATGTCGAAACGTGGCAATCCGATCCAAGTTAGTTATGACGTGGCAACCGATCCCCTATTTATGCCGAAACGTGGCAACCGATCCCAGTTAGTGTGTCAGATCGTGACACCCGCCCATTCAACAAACCA